GGCGGCCGGAGCCTCGACCCGGGTATGCTGCCTTCCACGGTGTGTCACGGCTCTCGTCCCCACCTCGTGTGCCGGGGACTGCTTCTCTAACGCCGGGCAGTGTGCCTGAGGTTACATGCAGGTACTTATACGCTGATGATTCTGGTATTTAGTCCCCAGAACTCTTCTGCCAGCGTTTTGTTTTATAACTCTTGTTCCCCACTCCCTCCCTGCTCAACTGCCAGTATCCAGAGACTATTTACTTGCCTGTTCTTCTGTTGCTGAAAAGTGGAAGTTTTTTGGGGTCTTGCTTAGAAATTTTAAGACCCTAATAATTGCAGTCATTTAGCTGATAAACTGATTGTAAATGGGATTTTTACTGATGTTTGATGTGCAGGCCTTTTACTATGAAGTACTTAAAAGCATGTTATTTAAGTGTGTGGTTTAGAGGTTCTTGTTCTTACCTCAAGTGTGTCAATCTCAGTATTCAAGTTGGCTGTCTAGATTCATCTGTCAATCTCTCATGCAAGCACGATGATGAAAAACCTAAATTTAGATTTTATTAGAGTAGAATGTATAGTAGGAATTGCACAATACTGTACAAGTGATATGTGTATTTCTGATAGTGAGGGTTCATGGATTACTTGGGTACAAGCCCAACTTTTTCTTGTGTTGCTCTGGTTAAGGCACATTTCTTCAGGTCTGCAGAAACCTCTTAATCACTATTTCCAGCTTCTTTTACTGATAAACATAAAGTGGCTCTACAGTAAGATTACATGTTTGTGTGGATCCAGGAAGAAACGTAAATTTATTATACTTAACAGTAGTACTCCTTTAAATTCTAGCTGAGAAGATCACCAGGGGAAGTGTGTTTTCCAGGAGGCAAATGTGAAGCAATTGATAAAGATGAAATTGATACTGCTGTTCGAGAAGCAAAGGAAGAAGTGGGACTCCAACCAGAGAAGGTGGAAATCATCTGTAGGCTTGTGCCTGGAATTGATAAAGTAAGTGATAAACTAAGTAAGTCAGCATATGGTTAGAAAATAAGCTTGGGTTGTTTTTTGTAGGGTTGATAATGACCTCTTAAAACCTATAACTGTAAATAACCACTGCTTCTTAAAGTGCACAGCCCCCATTGCCAGCAGAGAAGGGAGGGGATTCTTGCTCTGTGTTTGGTAATTATGAAAGCATGTTTGGTGTACTGTGTACAGTTACAGACACACTGGAGCACAGAAAGACAGTGCTAAGCTGGTGACAGTTTAGCTCAGAGCCACAGGGGTAAGTAAGGAGGAGCTGGTGCATGTGGGTTGTGAGGAGAGGCTGAGAGAAGTAGATTTGCTCAGCCTGAAGAAGAGAAAGCTAGCAGGAGATCTAGTTGCTCACTTCAAATACCTTGTGGGTAGTTGTAGAGTGGGTGATTCCAGACTCTACTTGAGACAATGTACATGGGCAGCAACAAATGAAATTTTGATGAGATGCAAGGAAAATACTCTTCACCACAAGGCTAGCCAAACACTGGAACTTATTTTCCTGACAGGCTGTATAATCTCTATCCTTGGAGATTTGCAGCTAACCCTCCACAGCCTGATGTAACCTCAAAAGTCTTCCCATTCATTATCCTGCTAAAAGCACAGTTAATTCAGGTCAAAAGGGACCTCTGCAGGTTACGTGGATTGTGATTCTGTATAGAGCTCTAGCAAGGAGACTTCTCTTCTGGAGGTGTCTTTGGAGTATAAGTCACTGTAAATTGACAGGCTGCCAATTTCAGTAACAATATCCAGTTTCATGGGATCAGTTCTCCCATGGTACAGAGGGGTTACTGTTTCAGAAGACGGTTTTTTTCTTCAGGTAACAGTTTCTCTTCATAAATATGCCTATGGCTTGGTTAAGTATCTGTTAACTACTTGTTGTTGACAACATCCTCCTCCACAATTAAAACAAAAAAAACCCCTAGTTTTAAAATTGTATTGCAAATGCTTTATTTAATCTTTTAATTGTATTTTCTGTACAAGTAACATTTAAAGCCACATAGTTCAGAGGCTATATGTAAAAATGATCGATTTAGTTTTTAAAACTCTCTTTGGAGTTTTCCAGCAAATTGCCTCAAACAACAGAAAAAAAAACCAAAAAAAAAGTGATTCTGACTTGAATGAAGTGTCTCCAGACTTGCATCAAATAGCCCAAATGTTGAATGTTACTGTTAATGCTTTCTGTAAGAATAAGCAGAAGTAGCAATGTATTTTAAAGATGTAGAGCTGCCCTCTTTGTGCAGGCTATCATTTCAGTAGATTTTGCCTCCCTGTGGAAGAAGGGATTATATTAAAAATGTCCATAAATGAGTTGTTCAAAAAAGTTTATAAATATAGCTAAATATACTTGGAAAACAGACACAGAGATATGATAAAGCATAGATGAGTTGGAAAATCTGAATTAAAATCAGAACTCACCAAAGTAAGGAGGACTCGTGAGAGTGCATGGAGTTTATTTCTGTTTAACTGAATATTTCTTAGGTTTCTTGTACTCATAACTCTGAAATGTTTTTAAAATAAAGAACATTTTTTTACTTGTTACAAATTCAGTGTTTGGCACTTTTTGTTGGTTTTTGGTTTTTTTTTTTTCCTTTTAGATGAATTACTTGGTAACACCAGTTGTAGGATTTATACAGGATACATTCCAGCCTACTCCTAATCCTGATGAAGTAAGCAATGTTTTTGTCATGCCATTGGAATACTTTGTCAAGCCCTTGAATTACCAGACTGTGCCTTATAAAACCTCATCTGGTTACCAAGGTCGGATGCATTCCTTCACATATGATGACCCGGAACATAAAACGTCATTCAGGATATGGGGACTTACTGCCCACTTTGCTGTATTCCTTGCTCTTGTAATTTTTAGAAAGAGACCTACTTTTGAAGTTGATTATGATCTGGACAACTTAATTTCATCCTCTGAGAATTACTTCATGAATTTATATGCATCCATGTATGAAAGAAAGAAGAGTAATATATAGCAAAGTAGTCTGGCAGTTAATTTATACTGAAGGAGGAAAAAGGGGGTTGTTTATTGTTTATTACTTGTTTTAATTTCCTCTGAATTAGGAACTGATTAAAATTTATTTTTAAATAACATTTTTAAATTGACAAGCCCTAACTAGATTAATATAACCATTATTCTGTTTTAAAGCTGCTAAAAGCACATGGGTTTTTTGATGGACTTAGTATACAGTTTTGGAAGATACGTTTCGCTGTCTGCTTTTGTTTTATGGTATCTAAGACATTTTCTGTGGTTTGCCTCCTGTATAATGAAGTAATACAATTTTATCTGATTTTTGTCTCTTTAAATTAGAATGTGAAGTCTTTTGGGGTCTGTTTGTGGCATACTACATATGGACAACAATTCACAGTCTTGTGTGGTATCTTTAAGCACTTACAAAATACAATAAAAATCTAAGAGGTGGCACATGCTTTCACAGTATTGTTTTGTTTTGGTTGGGCTTGTGGAAGGAAGAGGAAGATTTAATGAGGTTTTGTTAGCTTTGCCAGATTTAACATTCCTCACAAGGAGATTCTGTAGGCTACGGAATAAGGTGGAAAAAAACCGCCCCACTCGGTTGTTCTTCTGGGTGTTTGCATTTTGTGCTTCCCCCCCCTCTATTCACTAACAGATGCAAGTGTGATAAAAAAGTTGCTGGCAATTGCTATGAACTGTGCTGTAATTGAGCAGTAGTCAGATTTTTACGTTAAACAGCTTCTGTAGTATGCTTGAAATTGGCTGTGCCTTTAGAAAATTCATCCTTTTTACAAACAAGTGTTTCCCAAGTATGGCCTGAATAGCTAATTATGATTTTCTAGAAAACTCAATTATTAGATTATTTTAGCCTCTCATAATTGCATCCATAATATTATTTGGCTGCTGTGCTAGATTAGCATTTAGGCACTGAAATATCAGCTTGTGTTTGGTGGTAACTGCAGCATAACCTTTTACCGAAGAAGAGAAGGATGCTGGAGTTGCGCTCAGCTGACAGAAGAGGACCAAAACAAATCAAGGCTAAAATCAATACAAATTTGGAAGGACGGAATTTCCCTTTGCCTCCTCTCCCTGCTACTTACTTACTATTTGTACTTACTATTAAGTGCAATACTTACTATTTGTCTCCTCCCAGAGGTAATTCAGCGGCAGGTATTCCTCCTGAAATACTCTTCATGCTGTGGTGACATGGGCAGTTGGATTGAGTGCACCCTCAGCAAGCTTGTCAATGACACTGAGCTCTGTGGTGCAGTCAAGATGTAGGAGAGAAGGCAACTCCAGAGGCACCTCAACAAAGTGACATGCAAGATCCTATACCTGGGTTGAGGCAATCCCAAGCACAAATACAGGTTGGTCAGAGAAGTGATTCAGAGCAGCCCTGCAGAGAAGGACCTGGGGGTGCTGTCAACAAGAAACTGAACATGACCTGGCAGTGTGCCCTTGCAGCCCAGAAACCCCCTGTGTGCTGGGCTGCATCCCCAGCATGGATAGCAGGTTGAGGGAGAGGATTCTCCCTCTCTACTGTGCTCTCATGAGACACCCTCCCTGCAGACCTACATTGAGCTTTGATGCCCCCAGCATAAAAAAGATGGGGACCTATGGGAGTGAGTCCAGAGGAGGCCACAAAGATGCTCCAAAGGCTGGAGCACCTCTGCTATGGAGACAGGCTGAGAGTTGGGCTTGCTCAGCCTCAAGAAGAGAAAGGTTCCAGGGAGGCTGTAGAGCAGCTTCCAGTGCCTAAAGGGGCTGACAAGAAATCTGGAGAGGGGCTTTTTACATTGGCGTGTAGTGACAGGACAGGGGGGAATGGTTTTAACCTGTCAGAAGGGAGATTTAGATTAGATTTTAGGAAGAAGTTCTGAGGTGCTGGCACAGGGTACCCCAGGAAGCTGTGGCTGCCCCATCCCTGGCAGTGTTCAAGGCCAGGTTGGACACAGGGGCTTGGAGCAACCTGCTCTAGTGGAAGGTGTCCCTGCCCGCGGCAGGGGGTTGGAACTGAATGAGCTTTAAGGTCCCTTCCAACCCAAATCATTCTGTGGTGATTCTACAACGTACAAGATTGGCCATCAGAATACAGAGTTGGAAAAAAACTCTAGAATTAGCCTAATGTCTTGCCACCTAAAGATGGAATCAAGTACATGATATTCTGATAAATACCAGGTTTTTTTCTGAATCTTCCCCGGACAATCCATTGTAGTCCTTTAGCCAAGCTTTAGAGTTGTGGCAAGGAACACTTCACATCTTCTCCTGTACACAGCAAAATGGGGAGCAGCTGGTTTGCCCAGTTACTTTCGGCACTCCTGGAAACTACATCACTGTGTCTTCCTGAGGCGTTTTTAGGCTTCATGGTTAGATTTTCTTAGGTCTTTTTTATATCAGTCACATTTTCCATACACATCTTGTCATTTAGTTGCTCTCCAGAATCTTCAGTAAGCCTTTCTCCTCCAGTTCTCCCCCAATCCCTAAATAAGTATGTGGTAACCAAACCAAACCTGGTAATAGTTTTCTAGTTAACCATTTGTTTGGGTTGGATAGGACAGGATTACTTCAAAGCTCCTTTTTATATAACCCATCGTTATTGCTCTTTGTGAAGCAGCATAATAATATTGATTCATATTCTACTTCTTCCATTAAAGCTGCCTTACCCTTTTCTGAAAATGCTGCCACTTGTTCCTATATTTGTATTTACTGCATTCTGTATTTGAACAGCTGATTACTCCTACCAAATGTAGCATTTTACATTTGTCATTATTGAATTACATCCTGATTAAAAATAAAAAAATTGTAATGATCTACTGACTTGTTTTTCATACATTTCCGTTTTGCTGTTATCCTCAAGTTTTGTTAATGTATTTTCTGTTTCATTTACAGCTTAGAGTAAGCACACTCAGAACAGGCCTCTGCAGAATCCCAACTGATAATTGCCACTTTGACAATGAACTGCTACCTAGTTTTCTAACCAGCTGTGTAATACACTGTTATTAGTTTCATATAGATCAGCCCTTCTGCAGTTGCACACAGGAACATTGGGCAGGGCTATATCCAAAACATGAGGATTTATGCTTCCCCCTATGCACCAAGCCTGTTACCTGCACCACAGAGGAAGTAAATGCAGTTGTCAGAACCAGTTCATAGGTAAATGACAACAGTTGCTGCACATGTCCTTGTTAATTAAAGCACTTATGTAAAGGTTACTTGTCCTGCTACCTTCCAGGAATTAATCCGTATGAGTTCTTCAGTTCTTTCACAGGGCACTGTTTGCCTTTTCCCAGCCTCTATTAGGGAAGAAGATACAGTTTTGAGTTTCAAACATAACTGCTATTAACGTTGAGATCAGTTCTTTTGGAGAATGGGTGTCACATTGGGGTATTTCAAAGTTGCATCCACTTTGAACATTTTAGCATATCTAACTGCTATCAAACCTTTCATATTCCTACATTAGCTCTTTTGGTGCCTGTATTAATTATGTTTGGTATCTGTTGACTTTTTAAGTTAAAAGAAAAAATACTTTTTTAATTTTTTCACTGGGATGAAATCCTTGGAGAAGTAGTAGCCATACTGATGAACAGCTTTGTTTTTTATTATTAAACACTTGTGAAATTGTTAAAACATTTTTAAAAGCTTAACTTTAAACTCTTCATCATCTTATGCGTATCCTCAGTGGCTTCTCTCAATGCTAATGTATGCAGGGAAAGTAACTAATTAAAATAAGTACATTGTTAATTAAAATAAAGCATAGCAATTAGAACTTTGATTAGTAAACAAAACAGGTACCAAGAGACATAATTACTAACTTACCATCCTCTTCTGTTCCCAGCAGACTATTTTCTCCTTCATCTCTCAGCCAGATCTGGCACAGAAATTGTACAAATTGTACAAATCCAAACCTTTGTTTGTTTTTATTTCTCTTGTTTTAAACATTATCGTGTGGAACTGCAAGGACAGCAACAGCAGTTACAGTTGTTGCTCCTTTTAGCAAATGCAAATTGTGTTGATTTTTGAATCAAATCAGTCAAAAGAAGTCTAACCAAAAATCCTAGAGTGATTTGCAGTAAAACCACTGGGGCTTCATGCTTCACATTAGGCATCCTAAAAAATTTTACTGACATTAGTTTTGAAATTTGGAAAGTAGTTTTTTACCGCAAAAGATTCATTCTTTATTTAGTTATCCATCTGGGATCTGAGTGCCCAAAGTCCTCCTTCGAGCTCAAAAAGAATAGAAGAAAATTTAACTGCTTGTTACTAAAACTGCAATTCTGACAGTCCCACATTTACTACTGAGAAATTGTTTCCTTGGGCTATCTTCGGATAAAACTCTTCTACAGTTCTTGATGCAGAAAGTAGAACATGAGTCCCTCCAACCTCAGCAGCCCTCCTAACTGGTCCATGTCATGTTTGCAGTCTCCTTCCTACCTCCAAGAGGTGAGGAGTGGAGAGTGCCCCAAGCAGACTGTCAAAGCCTGGCAATCCAGGCACTTTTCAGGATACTGCCTCTGAAGTATGGGAGAACCCAAAGTGTGTAACCCACACCCCTCCTGGGTAAGTGCTCTGTTAGACTATTAAAGGGAAGTTGCAGCTGCTGTGCCCCTCATTTTTTAAAGGAGAGTGTGGCTGCACCTTGTTTGTGTGACGTCAAACGCATGAAGAGGTGGGTCCTCCAGGGAGATGGAATCTTTCCCTGGACCTTGGGCCACGGAGAAGCTGTGTAAGCTAAAAAGGGAACACATCTAGCAAATGTGCTGCTGTGAGAATTTCCTCTTCGAAAGTGCTGTATTCTGCCCTTAAACTGGTTCACGGCCTAGGACAATCTCCCTTTTCTTCTATAGGGAAGTTTAAGCACCTAAAAAATGGCCTTTTATTGTTCAGTGGGCCAGGTGCTTTGGAGTTTGACACTGCAGTGTTATCATGCTCAGCCTCTTCCAGCTCTGTCTTTAAAGCCACGTAACAAATCACTCATCAAGACCTCGGTGTCCCAGTGGTCTC